TTGGGAAAGCAGCACAGCTTAAATCCCCATCCCCCTCTGAGCTGATCCAGGATGGACCTAAGCAGCCTGATAATTAATTTGGGGAAACTGCTGGGAGCTGCAGAAAAACATGCATCTGGTTTGACTACAATACTGAATCAAAATTGGTTATCTCAGCCAACTGTAGCAAAAATCAGATGAATCAAAACACACCCTTTGTTTCTTGTTGCAGTATTTAAATAGAATATTTGCACTGAAACCACTCTGTTAGTTGTTGTACTCTGAGGTAAAATTAAACAAATCTAGGACCTCTGTAGTAACTGCCTTTTTAAGGTTAAGTTATTCTGGCAATTAGAGTCCTGGAGAATGATAGACCAGACATGTTTTACAGGCACTTTTGACTTCTGGTATAATCCTGTCTGCTTTTATCAGACTTGTTTGAATGTACTGCTGCTTTGTTTGCTGCAATTCACTCCGGGGAAAATTAAGCTGTACAAAATCCTCTGCAAAATTGCATTTTGGCCAAAGGCCAATAGAGAAGTAAACCAAAGGACAATTAAGACTTCAGAAGTAACATATTCTTCTTTTTTTACTCTTGTAGACCGCTAAAGCGTTCCTTCCGAAAATGCTGGAGTTGAATCACGGGCATATTGTGACGGTTGCCAGCTCCCTTGGCCTGTTCAGTACTGCAGGAGTGGAGGTATGTTCAACTTCTTAAAACTGATCATTTGCATCAAAGCCCTTCGTGCTGTTGTCAGATTTGCTGTACAACTGAATGCTTAAAGCCCCTGAAGGGAAGGCAGAGGGATTTTTAGGCATCCACAGCTCAAGAGTGACTAATCCAGCTTCTTTTGAAAATGTAATGTGCCAATTAATTAAGTACTGTAATACATAACCTAGCCATTTCTCATGGTTTTTAAGCTTGCTTTCTATGAAACTATAATTGCAGGGGAGTTTGGATAATATGCAGCTCATTCTGAAATACTCTGTAGAATGATAGGAGTGGGGATCTGAGCAATTCCAGCATGCTGTCTCTTCTCCCATGCCTGCATCAACTGCAAAGTACATTTAGAGAGCAATCCTAAGCAAGTCTACTCAGAATTCTACTCAAGCCTAGTTAGTGGAGCTTGCTTCTGGGAAAGTGTTCTTTGGATGGCACTGTTGGAGGTATAGTAGTTTAAGAACTAACAAGGACAATCCTGTTGGTTCTTAAACTACTCCTGTCTAAGTCCATCAAAATCACAGAATTGCACTGCCAGTATCACAGTAAGACATTTTTAGTTTACAGAATTCAGAAGGAAAAAATATGAGAGGCATGGATGTATTGTGGAACGAGATAATCTTGTATAATCAAAATGGTATAGGGTAGCCAATTTTTGTATCTTCTAGTCTACTGTTTCTAGACTTTGCCCCAATGCTGTGTGGCCGACGGAAATGAAATGTTTGAAGGATCAGATCCAGGTGTCTACAAGGATCAGTTATTCATCTACAGTACTTGTGTACTTAATATCTAGAAACTGAAGTTTTATGTCACTTCTCTTTCCTGCTGGTGTTTTATGAAGGCACTGTTTAGCAGCCCTGTTTTTGTTCCTCCCTTATTATTCTTGCCACAACAATAATTCATAAGTCAACATTTGGGTTACATAACAGCCAATTGTGCTCAAGCAGGACAAAATCGTTTGGTGGGCAAGCAAACTAGATGTGCTAAACAAGAATTTGTTTAGACCACGTGAGCCTGGCTGCTGGAAATTTAGATTTGTCAGAAGGCATTTGTGAGGATCCAGAAGTGGGCAGTTGAGATAAACTTCCCTATCTTAAGGTAGTCTGTTGGCAAACTTGTCCAGACCTTTCCTCTTGTCTGCCTGTATCACCTGCCTGCCCTCTCTCTCTTCTCCTTCCATACACGCTTGGTATGTGATACGTTTGGTAACAGAAAGAAAGCGAACTCGCACTTCAGTATGCCTTACCCTCCTGGGACATTAACCTATAGCAGCTGTCATTTCTTATTTTGTTACACTATATTCCTTTAGAGGCAAGATTGTAGATGGCAAGAGGTATCACAACCAAAGGATGTAATGCAATTATTTGTTTAAAGGCCCCAAGTATAATGTTCTAAAGAACCGCTGCAGTCCTTGGAGCACTTAGGGAGTAAGCCCCATTAAATTAAATGGGGCTTATTTCAGAGTAAACATGCATGGATTGTACTGTAAGATTAATGGTTTTTCTTTCCCCCCCTTAGTTTCATACATTATGTTTTGTCAAAACTCCTTGAGGCAGGAGTCTCCGGTATTTGTCTCGAGACAGTTTTGTCAGTTCAGCCAGATGACTTTGCCATAGACGCAATCTTTCTTTGTATGTGTGTTGCTGCTTGAAATATAGACATTTCAGCACAAAACCACATCAAAACCATGTTTGTTCTTTGTTATAACATTTTCCATTTGGATCTAGGAACATAAAAGGATTGTTTCAAATATGTTCCCTTCTTTCTTGTTATACATTCTCACGCTTGCATTCTTTCTTAACAATCTAGGATTATTGTGCCAGTAAATTTGGAGCCGTGGGTTTTCATGAATCTCTAAGCCATGAACTGAAGGCAGCTGAAAAGGATGGTATTAAAACAACCCTGGTGTGCCCTTACCTTGTAGACACTGGAATGTTCAGAGGCTGCAGAATCAGGTAAGAAGGCTAGCTTGATTTTTCTCCATCTTTGCTCTTAATTAGGGGAAAGAGAGAGAAATGCAGGCATGTTAAATGCCACTAAAACCTGCAGTTACAGTCTGTAGCAGTACAAGATTTCTATTTTATAAGCATACTTAAAGATGCCTATAATTTTTCTCATGTAATGTGCAAACACAATTTACAATTTTAAGTTACCTTTTTGATACAGCATAAACTTCACTGTCTGACTGTCATTAGGTGCATCTACAGATCTAGAGTGAATTTTCCAATGTTGGGATATTTTAAGGGTGCACCACAAGTCAATTAAGCACTTCTTGAGTGCCACTGGTTTTAAAAGGTGAGGTAAAATTCCTCAGTCTTCTTCCCCTTTTAAATCAAAGGGCTTTAAAAATCAACATCATTTCATGTGAATCATGTGCTTTGGGTCTGTGAGCTTATTTCTAAAATTAGGTTTTGTTTCTTTTTCAGAAAAGAAATTGAGCCATTTCTTCCACCTTTGAAACCAGACTACTGTGTAAAGCAAGCTATGAGAGCTATACTTACTGACCAGCCTATGATTTGTACACCTCGCTTGATGTACATGGTCACTTTCATGAAAAGGTGATTATTCTGGAAATGCTGATTTGGCCTAAAATGTGTGGGTTGTATCCAATGAACCTGGTTACATTAACACTGGAACATTCCTCTAGTGTGTGGAGTTTTCTACCATGGCAAGAAGCTCTTCCATTAGAGACACAGAGTCATAGGGTACAACCCATAATTATCAGAGAATAATAGACTGGCAGACTTTGTAGCATAAGATTCTGTATCTAGGGCCAATGCATGAATTCCTTCTTTTATTCATGGGAGGTATTACATCCAACCACGCCACTAGCTTTTCTCTGCGGCAGAACATGCTTTTTCCTTCTCTATCTCTCAGATCTAAGAACTAAATGCTATTCTAATCTCTATACTTTCTGCAGAGAAAAGTGACAGATAAAAAGTATCCACAATCACTGATATTTTTAGGAAAGGAAAAATTAACCTCGAGGAGCCTCTTTAAAGGTAGTGGCTGCATTCATATGTCACAACAAACCTGTTTGTCCGTGACTGGCATGAACACAGCATGTTCTCATGATCATGCTCTCCTTCCTGCCTCCTCTGAGTTCCTCTCCTTGCACATAGAGCTTCCTAGTTTTGAAAGCCTCCAGTCAAATTCCATAACATCACAGTGCAGGCAACTTGGTTTAGAATACCATTCTCAAGGTGTGGCCTTAACTACAGAGATCAGTTCCCCTGGAAGAAGTGACAGCTTCAAAGGGCAGACTCCCTCACCTCTTTAGACCCTAACCCCAAATTTCCAGGAATCTTCCCAATTGGAGTTGGCAACCCTTGGTTTAATCCTTTGGTAAACCTGGAAGTTATCAGTCATGCTGTGTGCACCAGGGGAAGAGTGAGGGATGAAGTTCCTGAGTGCAAGAAGAAACGTTGTTCACACTGATCTTGGACAAACAGGGGTGCTGTAAGATCTGTCTTGAGCATCGTTTTATCACAGTAGGAGCATTCTTCTGGCGTAAACATTGTGTATGAACAGAAATTGTGTGTTGCACTCTCCTGTTTCTTTTTTAAGGAGTGTGACGTAGGCTGCATCATTAATAATACTCAGCCTTTCTATAGCACTGTCAGTGTTAAAAGCACTTTGTTCACATTATCCTGTCATCCCTATAGCAGCCCCGTAAAATAAGCCAGTATTATAAGCTGGACAATGAGAAAGGAGACAGAGGCATCTCTATCATCTGGCAAGCACTGTCCTTTACTGCTGCTGGGGCTCCTGTCTTCCCTCCCTCAACACTGTTTCCAAGCCTTCTCAGCTAGGGGAAGCCTGCTTGGGTATCTGCTCAGCTAGGGTGCTGTCTGGCATAAAACGATGGTGTCCCTGTGTCCGCCACAGGAACACTGTTGCATCTAGTTGAGTACTGGGAGAGAATGCTTGCATATACACTATTTTCCCAATCTGAAATTACTCTGGGGGAGTCTTGTTCTTCCCACTGGGAAACCTTTCTGTATTCTTTCAGTACATGTCAATCCCCATGAGCCAAATAACAGGGCTGTTTCAGGTCAGGAAAAGACTGTATAAAGGAAAGCTGAAACCTAGGAAGAGACCAGGAAGATGAAATGGCTCCGGAGCAAGCCATGGTGAATGTGGCCTTCAGGTGCTACAAGCCAGGGCTGCGGAGCCACTCAGCTCAGCAGCTCCAACAGGGGGCCTTGGCTCACCCCTTGTCTTCTGCTGCACACTGACAGAAGTGCAAAAGGAAGCACTTGGGGCGCTGGCGCTTCTCCTCATTGCCACTGAAGGGTCTGGGCCAAACAGACCCTGCGGCATTGGCAGAACTTGCTTCTGCCCACCAGTGGACCTCTAGGGCAGCCGCATAAGGCTACATTTCCATATAAATCGGCATTTCTTCAAGCTCCTTCCCACATGCCACAGTTCTGATCTGAATCAGGACCCATGTTCCATCCTGAGAATTAAGTTCCTGGTGGGGAACTCACAAGTGCATGAATGGATCTGGGGAGGACCCAGCAAAAAATGCAACATGTAGTCACTGTGATACATCTGCACTGTATATAACGGAGAGTGTAAACTGTAGTATTGTTTAAAACCTTCTTCAAATCTTCCATCTTACATTTTATAAATGTAGTAGCCTATAAATTTTGTTGTTTTTCAACCTAAATGATTCTGTGTCTGCTTTGTTACTTCAGGGTTTTGTTTACTTATTCAAGGGATGATCATGAGGACAAGGTCAGAGGTTTCAAAAGCAAATAAACAAAAACATTGCAATGTCTGTCTCAACCACTACCTTGTTTCTTTTGGCTGTTTTTCTGACTATGCCTTTTGAAGAGAGGAGTTGCTGTCCTCTGCTACTCTCATTAACTTCAGACTAGTTCAGGCCTTTAGATGTCTGTCTTTGTAAAATGAATGCCTCATCTGTAGATTTTATCAGTTACCAATTACCAAATGTACATCATGTGTTCTTAATCTTTCTTTTTCCCTCTCTTTGTAGCATCCTGCCTTTTGAAGCCGTTGTGTGTATGTACCGATTCTTGGGAGCAGACAAGTGTATGTATCCTTTCATTGCTCAACGCAAACAGGCCACAAATAACAATGAAGCGAAAAATGGAATTTAACCTTTTACGACGGACTAGCATTTGTAGCAGAATTATGATCAAAACCTACAACTGAATTGTGAAGTGCACTTGCATTTAGCTGATGCAATCATTAAAACCTTTTACTGTGGCATTCTCTTGGATCTTTTACCTGTATAGTGGGCAGAAATATAATTGTTTTTACATACTGTATATAAAGTAACTCAAGTTCTTGGAAACGTGACAGAAAAAGTGAATTTTAAAATATAGTGGTTACCTTTGGTCCTTTCAGAATTTTTGCTAAATGTACAGTAACTTTAGCCACAATACTGTTTTGTAGAAATAAGCCTATGTATGAATTCCTCCTGAGATGACCATTCAAATATAATTATTTCACAAACTGTTTTAACTTTTCTGTGGTATTAAATTATGCAGTAATTTCTAATGTAATTTAGCAGTGCAGTGTTCCAAAGGAGATCACCCAGCCTATGAGCTAAACTGTAAGGTAAATTCTCCTATGTAGCATCCGCATGTATTGATCCTAAATCTCTCCAATTCAGAAGTAACACTGATATTTCATAAACCTTTCAGAACAAAACTGTGTAATTAATCTCTTCCCATTGTGTGTGTGTAAAATGCCGTCAAGTCGCAGCCAACTTGTGGCAACCCCATAGGATTTTCAAGGCAAGAGACTAACAGAGGTGGCTTACCATTGCCTTCCTTTGCACAGTGACCCTGGAATTTTTTGTGTGGTTTCCCTTCCAAGTATGAACCAGGGTCGACCCTGCTTAGCTTCCAAGATCCTATGAGATTGGGCTAGTCTGGGCCATTCAGGGCCTCCTCCCATTACTAAGGGTGTGGTCACATGGCAAGCTTACCATGATTTGTTCCCGCTGTAGATTTGAGCAGGAATATTTTTGGGGGGTTGGGATGACCACACATCCCTCCCTGGACCACTTGCATTGTGCAATGAGGCTCCGGGCACCGTTCAGATAGCCGCGCCACCGCTTGGGCAGCACGGCTTGTTTTTTTTTAATGGCTTTGTGCATGCGCATATACACATGGCTGAATCACCACTCCCACTGGGACTCGCCATACTCCCTTGTTCTTGCAGGTCCCCGCCCCCCCAAAAAACACTAAACAAAATTAACCGGCAACGTACAACTGAGCGCTGGAGTCTATATGTGTGCTTGAATGTTTCTACATTGAATTTATTCAGCGCAGGATTGCTCATGTGCACAGCGATGGAAGCTTGTAAAAAAAATCGCGAGAAAGGCATTTGGATGACCTAATCACGATCATTGCGAGAGATGGCTGTCCAGATCAGCAAAATTGTGGATTCAAAGCGCAAATATCCTGAAAGTGCTTGATGTTCCAGTTGTAGGAAAACTCACTAGGGAACTGGGAGGATTGCGCGAGTGAGCCCACTTCAGTGCAGGAGACGGATGCGGCTGTCTGATCAGTTTTAAATGCGATAGGGAACAGCGGTGAAACCCGATCAAAATGACCGTGTGACCACGGCCTAAGATACAATTCATGACATTAACCTTTTAAACACCAGTGTTTTTAAAGCTGTCAAACTGAGATTGGCAGCCCAATCCTGTGTGTGTTTACTTGCAAAGCTGTCAAACTGAGATTTGGGATGGCAGCCCAATCCTGTGTGTGTTTACTTGAAGTAAGTTCCTTTGAATTAACAGAGTTTGCTCTCAAGTAAGTATGTATAAAATCACAATTTTAAAAGAAAAGGACATTTAAAAACTCTTTTTTTCCTCATTCACCTTCCAGCACTGTGTAATATATTTTGTTCTCTAAGCTCTGGCTTAAAACTCAAAGCAATGGAGTTAGGAGGAGAATGACTTCAAGTCCTGGTATTTGTGCCAACTAATTCTAGAGCTAAAACAATGCTGAATGCAACTTGAATGTTGGAGAATGGAAAGGTGTAAAAACTTTTTTAAAAAATGTATTCACATTGTAGAACAGGAAGACATTTTTACAATTTTTTTTGTAAAAAGAATTTTGTGCCTTCAAATTGGTAATCTGTATTAGTGGAATATTGTAAAGGTGAACTACCTCTATATCTAAATGTATACCATCTACTTGTAAATTACTATAAAATGAATCCTGTGATGACTTTTTTTTAGAATGTCATGTTAAATAGTGACCAACCTTTGTGGTGATTAAAGTGAGCCACCTTGTTCTTTAAACAATGACTTGTATGTGTTATAAATGCTAGTAAGTTTCTAGGTACCATATCAACACTGAGAAGCACAACCTCACACTCGTGCATCACCGACACTGGTATGGAGCTAGGGTAGCTAGCTGGTATCTCAGCAGAGATATTCTTTAAAAAGACCCAACTCTAAGGAGCATTAGAGGCCATTGTGACACTATCCACATTAACCAGTCATAGAGCAACATAGTGTTATTGTGCCAGTCATGTACGGGAACAGCCAACCAATGCACTTTGATGCTAGCACACTTTCCTGATGTCCCCACAGAACAAGGGAAGAGGCAAGGTGTAACACAGCACCCTCTACTTTGTGGAGAACTGTAGCAGACCAAGTAGGATTCCCCATAACTATCACTCCTTCTGGAACCATCTCATTGAACAGAACACCCTCAGATGAAAACTTGAGGACTTTTCACCAAAAAGGTTCAGGCTCCCGAGGGAGTGGAAGTGACCTGAGAAAAAACTTTTTTTGCAAGGCAAGGAGTGACACAGACATTAGGATGGCAATGAGTGAGCTGCATATTCACAGAAGGCTTTTCTATTATCTCCCCCAAGAGTTTACTGGGAGAACATATTCATGAAGGAAACATTGACCCTGAAATCAGACTTATAATCAGGTCAGAAAAAAACTGCAGGAAAGGCATAGCATTGTGGAATAGCAGATGCTTAGCATGGCTGATGTTCCTTGTTAAAGCCCTACAGGTGACTAGCTACCAGACAGCCTGGGAAGCAGTCCAAAGCACAGCTACGGTTTTGCATGATCAGAACCATACTGATTGGCTGCCTCACACTCCAGCCATTTTGCTTAGCACATTCTCATGTAGCCATCGTGTTGCTGCATCCATGAGTTCATTACCACTAGTCACTGCTATTCATCTCAGCAACGCTTGTTCTCCATTTTTTCTCTCTGTTGTAGTTTACCATATCAGGAGAGATGTGAGAGACTGTGAACCTGGAGCAGCCTGTTCTTTCTCTGCTGGAGCATGACTTCAAATATTAGATAATTAACCCTGTCCCACTATGAGTCCTATGTTGAGAAGGACAGGAGGTGGGCTTAGATCCTCACTAAAACCCTGATCAAATAGAGAGCTTAGAAACCAGGGCTATTTTTGGGCAGGAACGCACAGGAACGGAGTTCCGGCTGGCTCCCTAGTTGGCCACGCCCAGCAGGAACTCATCAGCATAATAGGCCACACCCAACAGCAGAAATCCATTAGGATTGGCTTCATTAGGGGTGTGTGGCCTAACATGCAAAGGAGTTCCTGCTATAATAAAAGCCCTGGTTTTTGACAACAAACAAGGTAAACAGAATAAGAAGCAAAAGGTGGGTGTGGCTGGATAACCACACTTCTGGTAACATGGGGGTGTGTTCTAATGTGCTAATAAACTGTGCTGGCAGGGGTGTGGCCTAATAGGCTAATGAGTTTCTGGTGTTGGGTGTGGCCTATTATGCTAATGAGTTCCTGCTGGGCTTTTTCTACAAAAAGAGCCCTGTTAGAAACAATACAGACAATGGATAGAGCTGTTCTTATTACTGCATGCTCAGAACAGGTTTGATTTTGTCAGTCACACAATTGTTAATCAGCTTGCAATTATGCAGGAACATGGCTAGAACAAGAGAATTTGCAGCAACACAGCTAGATGAACACTGGTCACTTAAGCTGTTGTTTGTTTTGTAGTCTTGGCAAATATTTTTCCTGAACTGTACATGGGGTTCATCCTTGCCACTACTCCTGTTAAGAGGGCTGCCTGCAAAGAGATAAAAGAGACACAAAAATGGTAATGAGCAATGTTCTGTGTCCATGTGTAAAGTGCTGTCAAGTAGCAGCTAAATTATGGCAACCTCAGCAAGGGGCTTTCAAGGCAAGTGATGATGCAGAGGAGGTTTGCCATTGTCTTCCTCCGCAGAGTCTCCCATCCAAGTACTGACCCTGCTTTGCTTCCAAGATCTGAGAAGATTGGGCTTTACCCTGTCGCCTTCCCTCCCAAGCAATGTTCTGTAGTAGCAAAAAATAGCACCTGGCCTCAAGCATTCTGCCTATGATATGTTTTTCTAGATCTTATATCTTCCCATTTCCCTCTGTGGGTTCCCACATTTAGAATTCACCTTTTGGGGAACACAATGTTGTCATCATCGGACCAATGTTTAGCCAACCTTTGTAGGTAATTGTGCCATAACACTGCCTACGGTTTATGTTTGGTTAGTTCCATGGGTCTTTGATGCTGCAAGGCAAAAGTGTTTGGCCACCAATTGGAATGGTTGGTAATAATGCAAATAATGTGGTTCTTTCCTCTGTTTCCCTCACCAGCATGCATGAAATTGTGTCAGCAAATATATCTTACTAGGAGTAATGCCCGTTGTGGGAAGAAATACAACGTGATCTAGAAGGAAGCTCCAGATGAGTGTCCCGACTGTGGCTGGTGGGGTGGCAGAGGGAAGCGGAAAATGGAGGGAGGCAAGCCATGTTTCTTTCCTTCTGCTTAGCTATAAGGCTGGGCTGTCTCAAGTCATTTTACTGCCCCAAGAGGGTAGAATGGGAGGACAGCCTCGTGGTAACAGATATGGTTCTCTCCACCTCTGACTTATTTTTTGAGGGGGAGGGGGGTGTTATGCAGTGGCAGCTAAGGTAGAAAAGCACCTCCTCCTGTGCCATGTTTTCTGGGTTCCAAGGGTCTGGAAAGTAGTTCCATAGCTGATTACACGGTTGTCAACTCTGGGTTGGGAAATACCAGTAGATTTGAGGGGTAGAGCCTGGGGAGGGCAGGATTTGGGGTGGGGAGGGACCTCAGCAGGGTATAATGCCATAGAATCCACTGTCCAAAGCAGCCATTG